CTTGTTGGGGAACACCCAAAGGAGAGATGGTGCCGTAGGTGACGTTCCATGTGAAGAAGAAATAAGGATCCTCGCCTCGGACTGTGGACAGTGCTACAGCCAACAGGCAAATTCGGAGCATGGTGAATGTCAACCCAGCCATCGGCAACTCCCCTTTCCCTCACTCTCTTGATCCTTTTTTTTTCTTTGAAATGTGATGAACCCTCAAACTTCCCCCAAGATGTGAGAAGATGAGTAGATGTTTGTTCCCCAATGACTAACCCTTCCATGTTCCATCGTTTATATACATGTTGAGGGCAGCTTCTGAACCATTCGAACTCCGAGTTTTCCTCTAACTTATTCGTTTATAGCCTTACGCATCTCCCTCCAACAGAGACCAAATATTTACTTAAATTAGAGGTTGGTTCTCGTAATACGTGGAGTACAAAACCGGTGCAAGATTATTATGTTATTATTTGAGGTGCTAAATGGTGTAGCTCATTATTTTGGTATAGTGTATACACATACATGAGAGCTTGAAATAGGGTTCATGGGTTGGGTAGTTTTTAGATCCAACCAAATAAATAGTTTCCTAATGAATCTAATTCAATAATTTTTATTTATTTATTAAATAATCAACTCAACCTCATTGGTTAGATTGTTTGGATGGTTTATTTAAAATTAAAATATTAGTTCATAAAATATATATTTATACTCCCGTAAGTAAAAAATGTATTTTTCAAAATTAATTAATAAGGTTTATGTTAGACAAACACGACTCTCCACGGTATGATATTATACACTTTGAACATAAGCTCTCATGACTTTGTTTTAAGTTTTCTAAAAGGTCTCGTACCAATGAAGATTGTATTCCTTGATTATAAACCTATGATTATTCCTTAAATCAGTCGATGTGTGACTTTTCTTTTCATCCAACACCTCCCCTCGAACAAAGTACTTCTCCCCTTCATTGAGGCTTAACTCCTCTTCTTTTGGAATCTTAGTCATTTTTTAATTTTCTATTATGCCTTCAAGGAGCCTTCTTTTGGAGTCATTTGTTCGCCATTTGAGGATTCTATTGACATGGTCAAGTTTAGAGCATGACTCTGATACCATGTTAGATGAACACGACTCTTCACAATGGTACAAGGCTTTTTGGGGAAGCCCAAAGCAAAACCATGAGAGCTTATGCTCAAAGTTGACAATATCATACCATTGTGGAGAGTTGTGTTCAATGCCCCTAAACTTAATCATATCAATAGAATCCTCAAATATTGAACAAAAGTATTGTGAGGCTCGAAGACATAGTAAAAAAAATGACTAAAACTCCAAAAGAAAGAGTCGAGCCTCGATTAAGGAGAGGCGTACTTTGTTCGAGAGGAGGTGTTGGATGAAAGTTTCACATTAACTAATTTAGAGAATGATTATGAGTTTATAATCAAAGAATATTATCTCTATTGTATGAGGCCTTTTTGTGGAAGCTCAAAATAAAGTCATGAAAGCTTATGTTCAAAGTGGATAATATCATGGAAAGTCTGTATTTTCATTTATTTTAACCAAGTACGTGGTAACCAATACAGTATCAAATTTTTGTAAGCATAAAAAGGGTCTGTTAGGGTTTTGAGATAAAAAGTAAAAAAATGATAAAAAGAGTTTTGAAGAGAGTGAATGTGAAGTTACCAAAATTCTCAAATGATGGAATTTAAAAAAGTATTTTTATAATATGCTCTATCTTCTAAATATTCTCTTTTAATCTTTACGTATTATGTTTTGTGAACAAAAGTAAGCCAACGCTACTACTCATCAATTCAATAAATATTATTCCATTCTCTAAGTTAGAGGAGTTCAAGTAAATAACATATTAAATGGTTGCGTTTGGATGAAATGATGGGAAGGGAAATAGAAGGAGAGATGGAAGAAGATTTTTCAAAACAAAAGCTAGAACTCGACGATTACAATGATAACGGAGATTTCAAGTCATCCTGGTGGAAAAGAAAACTAACACTACTGAATCTCGATTCATCAACTAGAAATGGCGAGAGATCGAGAGATGCAGGGAAGAACAATAGCGCAAACTTCAGATCTCTAAGTCAAATTGTCATTCATCCTCATAACTGGTACTACTTTTTTTTTTTTTTTTTTGTTATCATACATATTTTTATTCGATAAAAATGGAAATTTTAATTGTGTTTAAATCTACTCCTTTCCTGTCCAAATATCACATTTTGAGATTCAAATCGTTGCTTTAAAGTTTTTTAATACTTGTTTTGAAAATATTACGAACTTTATGATAAATTTAAATATATTACTATTTGAGGGAGTAAATGTTTTTTTTTTTAACTTTAGTTTTTTCTTGATTTTCAAATTTAAAAAACATTTTAAAAATATTCTCTAAATAACATTTATCTTTTATGTTTTTTTTTTTTTAGATTTTTATTTTTATTTTTTCTCTCTTCAAAACGTCACTTTATTTCTCGTAATTACTTAAAAGAAAATAGAAATAAAAAACATTTATCAAAAGGTTTATTTATTTATTTAAATAGTAGAAAGAAACCGTTGGAGGATTTTTGATGACAAAAATTAAGGGCTGGTGGAATCCATGCACGATGATGCACTGAAGCAATCCGTCTGAGCGACGGGATTCAGAGCAGAAACGAAATCTGAAAAGAACTGAGAAGAAAATGGGGTTTACGTTTAATGCAGGCGATACGTTCTTTGGACGCATTTCATTTTGGTATGGGCTGTGTACTCTTCCTTCTTTACGCCACTGGAATTCGGATTCTTCAGGGGTCTCCCCAAGAATCTCTTCCTCCTCGACGTTGCCGGCCAGATCGCCTTTCTCATCGATATCGCTGTTCACTTTTGTGTTGCCTATCGCGATTCGCATTCTTACCGCTTTGTCTACGACCGTAATCTCATCGCTATCAGGTCTGTCAGTCAATCTCTGTTCTCACAACACAATGTTTAATCTGTTTGTGATAGAAATACAAATTTTACAACTGCAGATATTTGAAGTCTCGATTTGTGGTTGACTTAATGGGTTGTATGCCCTGGGACGCTATCTACAAGGTATGGCTTCAATGATAAAATTTTATTGCTCCAAGTATGATGCATCTAAGCAATATTCTCAGCCCTTTTCCACCTCCCAGGAGGGGTTAGTAATTTGATTGATTTCATGTATTCATCCCTCTACCTACCGGTACCGTGTGTAGGCTTCTGGTAAGAAGGAGCTTGTGAGATATTTACTATGGATTCGGCTAAGTCGAGCCTTAAGAGTTACTGAATTCTTTGAGAAATTGGAGAAGGATATACGAATAAATTACCTCGGTACAAGAATTGCGAAGCTTTTTGTTGTGGAGCTTTATTGTACTCATACAGCTGCCTGTATTTTCTACTATCTTGCTACTACTCTACCTCCGTCAAAAGAAGGGTACACCTGGATAGGAAGCCTAAAGTTGGGGGACTATAGCTATTCAAACTTTAGAGAAATTGATCTTTGGAAGCGTTACATCACATCATTATATTTTGCTGTTGTAACTATGGCAACTGTTGGTAAGAGTCTTCTCTTTCTCATTTTTATCTTTATATTTTTTGAATTAACTATCCCATTACGTGATATGCCTGGTTCCTTTGATGTATGTTAATTTCAATTACTTCTGTTGGCATGATGTATGTTAATATGGCTTCAGTTGAACAGAGGTCGGATGGGGATAGATTGGGTTAAGGGATGTTTTGGAATAATGGACAAATTAAACTGGTTTGCAGATACTTGATTCCACCCAAAGGGGTCAATCAAACTGATCATAGGCCTCCAATTACAAAGGTGTATGCTAGGAAGAGAGGAAGAGTTGTCTAGAGGGGTTTTGAGATGTGTTGGTATACATACCTATTGATTACAAAAGACCTTGCTACTTTATGCAACCAACCATTTGGATTCGTTCCTTCGAAGATTGGCACCTCCAACTTCTATAAATGTGAATCAAATATTGGAGCTAAAGTGTTGGCAAGTTGATTGGAACTATGACTTGAAATTCCCTTACGCACCTGGCCTCACCATCCGCTCCTACTGGACTCTATTGATATAATTACAAATTTGCAAAAAGTTAGGATACCAAAATTTACAACAAGGAGCTTTACAGAGTCCCACATACTAGTGGTAGAATTACTGATGTTGTTGATAATCAAGGTAATAAAAACCACCAAAACTTTAACATAACATCATTACATAAGAAATATAATTCTAATATATTTTAATAACATTTAGTAAAGAAAATTTAAAAATAATTTTAAAAAATCTTTATTTAATGGGATAATCCAATAAGTCAGCTCAAGTCCGATCCAAGCTTGACCCAAATTTTGATAGATTGTGTCCAAGTTCAAATGTTGGGTCATAGGCTTGGCTATTAAAAGTTGGGTCAGCTTGATTTATGTCTGGACTGAACTTGGACATACACTTTTTGGATTGGACTGACCAAGGTTGAGGGTGACTCTAACCAACTCTTCCTCTCTTCCTAGGTTACACCTCGTAATTGGAGGCTTATCACAAATCAAATTAAATTTGGGCTGGATTCCCCTCCTCACATTACTTTTTTCTTTTTACAAAAGCAATATTCTAAAAGGCTATTTACCTTATTTTGCCCATCGAATTACAAGTAGTAGCAAATGAAAAATAATATCCAAAAACTTGAAATAATTGTTTTTTAGAGATCGTCGATAGTAAAGAAAAAACTGAAATCTGGTAATTGAAATAGCAAAGCCAAATGCATAAATAAACAATGTCTTTTTACTTAAAAATGAATTGGTTTAACTTGAACGATTGGGGAAAGAAAAAAGATATGGAATTACTGGGTATTGTGTTCCAAGCTTTGAAGACATTCCTTAGTGCATTGGTATTAGTCTTATGTTCATATGTTGGAACATTCCGTTAGTGCATGGTGGATCTTCTTAGAAGCTGGCCTGATTTTTTCCATGGGTAATGTCTTTATTTAGCCCTTTTCTGTTTGTTAAAATTAGTCAGTTGTATTAGTATAAGCTTTGTGTTCATTTGAAACAGCCATTATCTCTTCCTTTAAATGTATTGGTTAGTCACCTCCAACTTTCATGGTAGGTTCCGAGAGCAATAGCCACATCGCTCTGTTGTTATCAAATTCTCAGATCTGCAAATGAGAGCATTACACTTTATTATTCTTCACTTTCTTATGATGGTTTTTTGTTACTTGTACTAGATTTCAAGCTTCTTTTCCTCCTAATTTCTGCTTCATGTTCGCAGGTTATGGTGACATACATGCAGTCAATGTCAGGGAAATGATTTTTATCATGATTTTTGTCTCCTTTGATATGATTCTTGGTTCTTATTTGCTAGGTAATATGGCAGCATTGATAGTAAAAGGATCAAAAACAGAAAAGTTTAGAGATAAAATGAAGGATGTTATTAAATACGTGAATAAAAATAAGCTCAATAGGAAATTAAGTAAAGACATCAAAGATCATCTTCAATTACAGTACTGCCACTCCTCTGAGTTTGGTGTTCTTCAAGATATTCCAGCTTCAATTCGTGCCAAGGTATTATAATCCTGTGTTAGTCTAAGATATAGCTGAAAATCAATACTGGAAATTTAATCATGCTCTATGCTTTATTGCATTACTTGATTCATTTACTTCCGTATTAATTTATTGAGGAATAAGGACAGTCTAAGATATATTGTGTATTTATTTGTATTTCCTTATTTGTAATTAGCTCCTAAGTGATTGCGAGATCTAGATATCTTTTTCCTTGTATGTTTTCTTTCATTCCTATTCCGTTTTCCTGGTAATTTGTATTTAGAATAACCTTGTATCATCTTTTCAAGCAAGAAGGAATATTTTTCTTATCACTGAGATGGTATCAAAGCCTTGATGCTTTTTTTGATTGGCCTTCATTGCCGATCAAACCTTTTTAACCAGCTTTCAGTATTGTTGTTTGAGTTTTTAATGTTTTGCTTGTTCAAAATTATTGGAGTTTCAATCCAATGCGTGAGTTTCTCGCATATGGTTAGGTATTTCCTTTTGACTTGGGTTTATCTTCTTGTGCGTGGGTGTTTTATTTCTAAAGCGATACAATATGTGGTGGTATCTTTCTTGGTGCTTGTGTTGTTAAGGACAGCTTAATCTCCCTTGTGATATGATATTTTTCACTTTGGACATAAGCTCTCTAGCAAATTTGTCAAACCATGCTTGAGGGAACTGCAACAAACCATATAAGGATTTCTATAGCTTGCACCCAATCCACTAGTAGACATTGATCTTATGCCGGGTGGAATATCCATGTAGATTTCTTCTAAGTCTCTGTTTAGAAATACATTATTCGCATCCAGTTGGTGCAGTGATCAATCTAAGAATAACTGCAAATTAAAGCAGCATCCAAACTATATTTGGTACTTGAGTGCTGTCCAAATTTGATACAAATGCCCTGCAGTCTTGAAGGAGTTTTCCATAGGCAAGAAACTTTTGAATCGAGTGGTTTGTGCATTGTCTAACCCTTTTCCTGTGAGCTATGGGTTGATCATGGTTATCAGTTGTGGGGTTATGAGGTGTGATAACGTTCTTACTATTCTAATCATCATCGGCATGAGAACTAGTTTAAGTGATTTCAAAATTTGAAAGGGAATGGTGGTGTTTTATCTTCTCTCTATAGGGTTTCTTCTACTGTAAACATGAAGTTCAGATTGTTTTTAAGGTTTAGACGTAGGACTGAACACTCGAGGCACTGAATTGGACACGGGAAGAGTCAAAACAGAGGGTTCTGGCTCTGGACTCAAAGAAACAGGAGGAACAGACACGAGCATTGGTTCTTGAAGAATAAGGTCTCAATTCTGCCATGCATTTACTTTCTCCCCCTGAATGGTAGTTTGGGTAAAAAAAAGGTTGATATTCAAAGAATATAACCTCCATTTTATTGTAAATTTTCTTGTTGACCCGAGAGTAACATTTGTATCCTTTTTGGTCTGAGGAATAACCAGTAAAAATACATTTCAAGGACTTATGACCTAGTTTGGAATGATGATCTGGAGGTCAACAAAAAATGTACAACAAAAATTTTAAGAGGCAAGTCTGTTGAAAATTTCTGAATGTGAGGGGATAGTCTTGTAGTAATGCTTGTCGAGGTGTTTGTATTTCAATACTCTACTTGGCATACAGTTTCTGAGATATGTGGCAGTCAATAGGGCTTCCCCCTAAGATATATTGGTACGTTTGAAAACATTAAGCCACAATTAACTTCAAGTAGGCGCCAATTTTTCCTCTCAGATATTGTTGTGGAGTACCTGCACATGAACTAGCATAGATAATACCTTGGGAAGTGAGATATGGACCAAGATTGGAGATAAAATAATCTTTGGCATTATCTATCTGTAGCATTTGGGCTTTCTGTTAGAATTGCTTTTGAACCATAGTATGAAAGAATTGAAAACTTGAGGATGTATTGGATTTTTCCTTCAGAAGAATTGTCAAGTAGTTTTGGTGTGATCATTAAAGAACGTTACAGACCAGCGAGCCCCATTAATATTTTTTATTTTTGCTAGCCCCCAAATATTTTTTATTCTCAACTTAACCATCTCTTGTGGCAAACGTTGCAAATGGTGCTTCACTCTGGTCTTGCTGCAACTTCTCTCTTCTTGTCTTTATATTCAGCTTGGTGCTCCATCATGAACAAATTTTGGTTTTGACAACTTCCTGTGAAGCCACCTCCTTAGACATGTGGAAATGGTTTAAGAATAGTTGCTTGCCTCTCTCATGCTCACTTCTCTTGGAGCACTCCATGGGCAAATAACCCGTTCTCTTGAGTTACTTCCTTCTCTTGTGCTCACTTCTCTTGTGCTCACTTCTCTTGGAACACTTATACGGGAACACAACTAATTTTCTTGATTACTTCCCTCTCTCGTGTTCATTTCTTTTAGAGCACCTCCACGGGCAAACAATCAATTTTCTCAAGTTACTTCTCTCTCTTAGTCTTGATTGTCCACTCTTAACACTGCTTCTTTTCTTCAATTGGCCCTTAACTTAGCCACATTATGCATCCACATGGACTTATCAATGCTCACTTGACACTTGATTGACAGATGTTACACTGATCCCTTGGCTTCTCTGCTAGCAGCCAATAGCATTATCCTGTGATGGTAATAACTCTTTGGAAGACACCTTATTTGGTACACCATTTGAATGTCTTTTTGTCTGCCTAAGTATTATCAAGCCTTTGGCAAATGAGCTTAGTTCTTGGTTTTTTTATGGATAAGCCTCCCCTTCACGATGTCAATACATGACACTTGAAACTCAAGGAGCCTCACTTCAATCAATAACACTATTTTTGATATTGACAACACATCTGTCTTGCCAAACTGGCACTTTTGACATACTTGTGGAGTCTTCGATTAATCCTCGGGTTCATTCTCTCTCTACAGTGAAGGCCGATGCTTCTACATTGAGTGGTTTGTCAAGCATAAGACTTCATTTGTTCTCTGCTACACGAATAAGGGAAATTGTTTCTTTTAGTGACGATGTTTCTTCCTTTTTGGTGATTTTTACTCAAACTTGGTCAAAGCTGCCTAAAAGTCATAGACAGCCTACTCCAATAAATTACGGTATCTGCAGTGCACTTCATCTCGAATAGTCGATAATAATCGAGATCTTGCCATACGTTTGCTAGACATACTTAAATCATTCTCGAAAACCTATACTTCCTTTACCTCATCTATTTTGAGGGTGAGAATTATGAGTGAAAAATGTCTTAACTTTCCACAGGTTTATTCTCAGCCAACGTCAGTTTCTTCCAACTTTCTTCTCTTCCGACTTCTACCAAAGCTTCTCTCAAATTGGGAAAGGGCTTGATTGCCATCTTCCTTTCACTTCATGATCCTTGTTTAGACCAAGCACAGAGCATGGTCCTTTTTTGTTCTGTGATGTGCTTGAATGTTGCACCATCGTCAGAGCACTTCTACCGAGTAGATTTCATAAAGATCTAATTGGAGCCAAAACCATGTGAGAACCTTGAAATCTTGAGTAACATTCATCTCCATTTGCTTTAAATCATACAATCTTGTTTCAACCTCAAATAATTCAAACACATTATCCGCCCTTGAGTAGGTTTCTTCTATAGCCTCCCAAATGTCCTCTGCAGTTTTGTGAAGCATAAAATTTTTGCCCGCCTCCAGAATTATAAAATTGATCAACCAAGTCATAACAAGGTGATTGTTCATTTTCCATGGTCTGAATTTTGAGTCTGTTGTTTCTGGAGCCACAATTTCACCAAAATGTTCATCTTTCCCTCGACCACAGATGAACATGAACAGACTGAATCGACTAGAGGTTGATCGAACAGTTTGGGGTTCGTGACTAAGGTTGGAACTGAGATCATAGTTGGACAGTATTGATCAATTGATTGAGAAAAAAGTAAATAATGAAAAAAGAAATTGCGGAAGCAATAGTCAAATCGATGTCTCAATATTTGTTGAATAAAGAGAGAAAATGGAACATGAGAGGGTAAAATCAAATAGATGAATAAGTTTCTATTGAAGTAGAAAAAAATTGGTAACATAAACTCACGTGAAAGTTCATCCTTAGAACATAATTAATATCACAAAACTTACACACACACACACACA